GGGTCGGGTCGGGTCGGGTCGAGTTGAGTCGAGCCGGGTCAGGTCAGGTGGGGTTGGGTTGGGTTGGGTTTTGTTTTGTTTCGTTCTTTGCTCCAATCCAGAGTGGGGAGCAGCGCCTGCTGGAAACTGGGGCCAGCATCCGACAATTAGAATACAACTTATTTAGGGTGCAAAAAAGAAAAAAAGAAATAGTATTCGTTTTTTTATAACAAAGGAAATTTTATTATACAAGCCGTAACCTTTTTCTCCTCTTTCCCCTCTTCCTTCTCTTTCTCCTCTTCCTCCTCTTTCTCCTCCTTCCCCTCTTTCTCCTATTTCTCCCGTAGAGGTAATACTACGGTTGAGTGGTTTCTTAGATCGTAACTCACGTCTAGCCCTCCACTGACTTTTGCCTGATTGTGCCTTCGCTGCTCATGATGCCTGTTCCCTCACAAATTCGTTATTCCTATTTGCAGTATTCCGACTGAATTGCAATCAGACTCGCTTTCTTTTCCACTTTGCACTCATGCAAACAGATGGTGAATCACACTGGCGCACAGCGCCCACTCAAAGCTCAAAGATATGGGAGTCGAAAACACAGTTCAGATACAAGCTCGCTTCAACAGGCTATGGTGCATCAGCGCCTGTACTCTCCAACTCTCGCCACTCTACCCAACACCACTGTTCGCACTCACTCAACTCCGGATCACCCTGGATATCCCGCGCGCATACACACTCGCCTATCACCTATGGCGGCAATGGCCGCTGTCCCTCACTAGCTATGGCTAACTATCTTCTTCAGCCCACTTCGTCTCCGGGCACTCTGCAGACCACCTCGCACAAGTCGCTCAGGCAGCGCTTCCGCATGGCTTACGCAGGAATGAATGAATGGCTGGGCGCTGCCTCTTGATTTATACTTCTGTAACTCGTTGGTCTGCCCCTTTCCCATGCCCTTGGTGCACACAGTCCCACACGGTACTTGCTTGACTGGACTGTGACTGACTGGGACCGGTACCGCTGACTGCATGGGTTTGCACTGCCAACTCAATGCAGTCGCACTGCCGTCGTAACGCAGTTGGGCTCACCACTTGCCCACTTGCCTCTGTCCAAACGTGAGACAACTTCGAAAGGCCACTTCCGGACCTTCCGGAAGTCTGTGGACTTGGCCTTTCGACACTGTAGCACCTACGACCTTGACCTTTCAGGACTGTAGCAGCTACGACCTTGACCCTTCAGAACTACTACAGCTACGACCTCTGCTACAAACTTGACCCCTACTCGACAGGTCTACAGATCGAACCCCTACAACCTACGGACCTATGACAGCCTACCAACTGTTGCGAATACACAGGTTACGGGTTCAACTCTCGGGGTCGACACAGGTACCGTACACAGGTAAGGTAAGAACTAGGGATCGAGCCCTGGGATCTGCATTCGCTCCTGCTAACAGGTAAATACCGTTTCAGAATAAGTTCGATCTCATGAATTACCCTAAGCTAACATTTCGGCGGTGGTTAATGTGCCTCGATTTGGCAACGCAGCTATATTACAGAAGCTTTCCCCTGCAAGGCTGTAGTGTGATGTGTCCCACTCACACCACACAGAACACCACACGGTCACGGCAGTACTCGCACAGTTTGCGCCAATCCAGCACGGTTAACTACTGTGGAAGCTCCCGTGGAAACGCGGGCAATTTCTGTCCCATGTGTGTGACCGGGCAAATGGACTTGTGGAGGTCACGTGCTCGATTGGAGCAAAGCGCACGAGTACTCCCGTGTCCGTGTGGTGGTATGAGAGGTGCCATCTATCTTTTCCCCAGTGCCGCCTTCATGCGAGCCTGGATTAGGTGGAGCCAGTTTCTTATAGGCAGCAATCCATAGATTTATGTGTCTATCATGAGACTGCTGAATAGGCCACTGGCCCCAAAATTCTTCGTTGCTAGCGCTCCCACACAAAACAAAGGGTGATTGGTTTATGGTGTTTGCATCTGTGCCCGGTGAGAGTGAGTGAAGGACACTGCAGCCTTCCAGCAGTGGCACGGTGTCCCTTTTTTTCTTCTTCTTTTTTTTTTCTTTTCCTGGCATGGTGTTTTTGTTAACTACTGAGCCGCTGACCATAGGCGTTGGGAAAACAACAACAACAACAACAACAACAACAACAACAACAACAACAACAACAACAACAACAACAACAACATAGGAATTAAATAACTCACCAGCAAGCTCATTGATAGCAGCATGAATATCAGTGATGTCTCCGTATTCCAAGCTGTTGATGCGGAACCAAGGACCTGCGGCAAAGGCAAGCCATTCACAATCACAGCCAACAATGTTACGAAAACCGTCAGTGTGTCAACAAACAGGGGCAGGGGGGCAGAGGGGGGGAACCCACCGTCAGTGTCACAGTCGCCATTGTCACGGCTGTTTATTTTTCCTTTTCATATGATATCACTCTGTTGAAGTTCGTTGCATACATGCAAGCGCACACCATGAGGGTAATTGGGCACACACGGCGCACGACCGCAAGGGATCCGTGCAGCGCACGGGGGAAATAGGCACCCAGAAGAAAAGAAGGGGATTGCTGGCTTCTTTTTTTCTTTCTTTTTCTGGCGTCTTTCTCGTGTTTCTTCTGCCCATAAATTCGTAATGAACCTGTCATGTCGCTGCCACACAGTGCCACGCTGGCTAGACCATACCCTCTATCCGGTGCTACCGTCTTCCCCCGAACAGAACGTACAGTCATTATCCCTGTATTTGGGGCGCTTTTCAGTCTAGATGCAGCGATAATAACCGTACGTTCTGAGGCTATAGGATTGGCGACCTGGGTGAGGACTGGAAACGGGATCCCAACAGGCTCTGCGCCAAACTTCCTACACGATGTGTTGATAGGGCCTTTTGGACAGGGCCCAACACGCTCTATGGGATGTGTCTATAGGGCCATTTGGACAGGGCCCGCAGCTTCCACGTAGTTGTGGGTTTAGCCTACAGTAGTCGACCCTAGCAGAAATAGAAGTAGAAAATAGAAGTAGAAGTAGGGGGGTGCTGGGCCTGCCAGGCTATTGGAAAGATGGGATAAGGATTTGACTCTCTCTCTCTCTCTCTCTCTCTCTCTCTCTCTCTCTCTCTCTCTCTCTCTCTCTCTCTCTCTCTCTCTCAGCTGGGATTCCAACAGGCCTGTTTTTCTGTGGTTTTGTGTTGGCTCAGTTGAATGGCAGGTAGCTTAGTGCTCTACAGGGGCTCAGAGCCTGTTGGGATCCCGTTTCCAGTCCTCACTCAGGAAGTTTCACGTAGAGCGATAATAACCGTAGCTGCAGTGTCCATTGTTGTGTGGCTCGTTCACCAATACTAGTTCCTGGCGCTTTTTTTTTTTCTTCTTACTTTTTCTTTTGCTTTTTTGGTTTCTGAACTTTCTTTTGGCGCATACGGGCTATACTCTACCGATGGGGGTCATGTGCTACTTGGAGCTGAGTGTGCGGCGATTGCCAGTGTCCATGTGGTATGGAGCGGCGGTGTGCGTTGAGTGTGGCCCCTGCAGCCTTGCAGGGGTGGGGCGGGTATCACGGCCGTCGTCGGCCGGTATGGTTCCACTTTTGAACGCCGTGTCCTGGCTGTAGTGGTTACGATACTTGGCTGTTGAGGCCGAGGTCGCCGGTTCGAGTCTGTGCAGGAGCACGGAGGAGGACTGAGGACCAGAGGTACTGATCCAATGACATATTTGAACCCAGGACTCGTACGTATTTTTTGACATGTCTGTTTGTCCCATCTTAAAACTGGCGACTTTTTCAGTGTGTCTGCAATTGGCTTGCAGTTGTATGACCGAGCATCCCGATGGGCAGGTGAGTAACAGCGAGTGACAGTGAGTGACAGAGGGAATGACTGAAGTAGTATTGTTCCTCTTCCCGACCAGCGCCTTCCGGAGCATACGCTGGGGAGAGGAGCTGGAGAGGGATGGTGGATCGCTCGGTGGTTGCTTGGGTGTTGTGGTTTCGAATCGAAGGACTCTGATGTTGTGTAATTCCTCTGCGTCGATCATTCTCTCTATGTGTCAATCACACTGTGGTGATTCTCAATGGTATCGCATCTACTGATGATGTATGTTGAGCTTTTTTTTTTTTTTTCAATACAAATTACAAAAGCCAAATTTTTATTATGCCGGGTAACATGGCTCGGCATTGAGCTTTGCGGACCATATGCATCATTACTCTTACGAAGAGTCTTAATCCTAATTCTACATGAAAAATGAGTGCTGAATCTGCTGATGGCTTTCTTACCTTTCCGTTGATAGAGACGTATAAAGAGGCGCTGCGCATCTCCTGATAACTCACCAAAGGCCCCTGTCATAGAAACAAAAAAAAAAAAAGTTAGGAAAAGAGAAAACAAAAAAGAAAACAATGAAAAAACATCAGGTTAGGGACACAGACAAACAGCCAGGTCACAGTAGTACACAGCACTACAAACATGTACATGCTATGGAAAGGATACAAACATCCAAAACTTCAGTCGCCACATGATACATGCATTCCACACGTCACATGCAACAACAAGTAGTCGCGAGCAAATGATTGAAAGATTTAGTCAATTCCGAAAAGTGGCTCCCCGACCGGTTTCGATCACCGCAAGGTGATACTTCTCAGGGAGTTTCTCCCACCAGTCTCACCAAGCGCCTCACCCGATGCCCTCCCCATTCCACTACACCCTCCTCCGTCGCTTCCGGCATCCCGGAAATGCCGACACGCGTCCTAGGTCCCGGAAAGAGGAAACGGACAGATCAATTATTGCTTTTATTGCCATCAGGACCCGACAGAAAACTAGACTAGTGCAATGACTTGCTGGTTTCCGGCCGCCTGTAGCCTTGCTCTGTCGAGGCTGTACCATAGGTAGGGACAGATTCGTAATTTTGTTTGGCTGAGGACTAACCGAGAGACCCGCCTGTATGGAAATTAGTGAGGGACATATTTGTAAATATAGAAATATG